TCTTTACGGTAAAATTAATTATTTTGGTAGTTGTTAGCTATTTTAATAGCATTTAACTATTAATTATTTGAATAGTTTTTCATAAAATGCTAAAAGCGAAATGTTACATAACCTAACTTTTTATAAAATGATACATTAATCTCTAAAAACTACTATCTTTATTTTATAATACTTATCCCATTTAGAATTTCACGTTACTTAAAAAAACTATTAAATTTGTCTAAATTATAATAAATTATTGAGTAAAATTGACTATATTATCATTAATTAAATACTAATTCTCTAAGAAAATTATTAATTGAAACAATAATTATTGGTCATTTATAAAAAGGTAAATATGAAAAAAAATATTTATTACTCCTCGAAATCACAAGTGTGACAAGTATTTTGACACAAACTATTTTTTCAAATATGACAAATATTATAGAACGAAGGTAATGATTCAAACGGTATATTACCGTACACAATAAAAAATAGCGTTTTGATTAAAAGCTATTAACAAACATAGCATTTATGAGCCCAACAAATTAAGTTTGAATGGTCAAGATATACAATTAAATGAGCCCAACAAATTAAGTTTGAATGGTCAAGATATACAATTAATCTGTTGGCTCATGTTTTAATAATATTATTAGGTATTGGAAACTTGAGAGATTGATGAGATTTTTCTAACTGCTTACAAAAAATTAAATCAGTATAATTTTACAAATTAACTGAATTATCATTAAATTGATTAATGTTTAATTTGCCGTTTAAATTTGAAGATGATTTACAGTTTGCTCAAAAATCTATTTTTTTTTTTTATAATTACCATTATCCCAAATTTGCATCAAATGATCAAAAGTCCAATTTCCATCAAAAATAAAATAAAACAATAACTTTATATATTTTTAACTAATAAAATTTATTAGCTAAGATTATTAAATTTTTTTGGATTTTTTTATATATTTTTTTTAAACTAAACATTTTTTGTTAATTAAAAATATTAAGCTATTTTCATAAAGGTTAGGTTTTTGATCATTTGGTGCAAAGTAGGGGTAATAGTTAGTATATAAAAAGTTGAATTTTTTTAAACAAAGTAAACAACAAAAAAAACTATCTTAGAAAACTAATACCACAAGCATCAGCTCAAATAATTAAAATATAAAAAAGCAGGACATGAATCCCAAACAACTAAAGAGGAAGAGATAGAATACCTCAATCTAATCAAATAATCAATTGCAAAATTTGATTGTCAAAAAACATGATGGAGAAAAAACTCCCAATCACGAGCCAATAAACTCTTAATATCCATGATGAGAACCACAAACAGATGAGACGACACAAAATTCGATTGTATTAATCGTACCGCTTCTAAACAATCAAACTCCACAATTATCTTCTAAAAGCCACGATCCCAAGCAAAAACAAGACCAATCCTAATAGTAGTCGATTCACCTGCTAAAATCATAGAATGACCAATATTAATAAGAAAACGACCTAGCCATTTCCCCTTGAAATCCCGAAAGAAACCACCCTACTAGAAAAATTAGGATTAGTAACGCTGCTACCATCACAATTTAACTTTACTCAACCCTCGTGAGAAACAATCCATACAACAATAATCTGTCTGCGAATACTAACAGAAGAAGTAATAGAAGATTTAACAATATCCATAAACAAGAGATTCATTTTGAAAAGCAAATAAATTTCTCGCCTTCAAGCCCATCAAATAGAAGTTAGAAACAAATAATGCCAAGAAATACCAAAAGAACCCGGTACATAACAAGACAAAGTAAACCACAACCACATATCCAAATCGGGCAAACCAAAAAAATTAGACGGGGATTCCCATTGTTGCCACCGTTCCGAAAAGAATTTGTAGAAGTAAATTAAGGGATTATTGTAAGATAACAACTATTGAAATGCTAAATAAAAGTATTTACTATGGTAATAACAATAATTGCTTCAGCAATAACGCGATCCAAAAAGAACCATTGTTGTTTAGGTTAGAAAGTCAATGCAATGAAAAGTCAAAGATTATACATGATGCTAAATCAAAAAGAAGCCATTCTTGGACCATCTAAATTATTCCCACATTGGATGGTGTTGGACTATAAGTGTAACAAAGGTCTAGAAAGAAGCATCCTATTCCTATATCTCAAATTCTTTCGTCTATCAATAATATTTATTTCTTTCTTTATTCATTTTTTAATATTTTATTTTGGGCGACTTGGTGACCCATGTATTCCTTATATTATTATATATAGAAAAGAATTTCCATTTTTAAAATCTTAAAATATAATTTTCAAATATATGAATTATGTGTAATATTTATTTTTTTAGGAAAATGTGTAATATTTATTCTTCTTTTTTAAAAACTAAATTGAATAAAAATGTAAATTGACGTAAAATTATTGTTAATGATATTAATGATATTATATGTACATATTATTCAATCGTGTATCACTCATGGTTGAACATCTCATGGTTGAAAAGCCTCCGCATATACATATTAAATTAATACATAAATTTTACCTTATACTTTTCTTTTAAAAAAAATTATATCACCTTAAACTTTGCGAAAAAATTTATTATATTACTAATCTCAGGAAATTTTAGCAACATTATATAAGTTTTTATAGTAACAATGACAATCTTTATAATTTTTTATTTTCATATGTGAATAGTGAGTTGGTGTGTGGTTAGTATAATTTTTAGAATAATAAATGTTTTGTATTTTTAATTATTCATAAAGTATTTAATCGATTTAATTTTATAAGTTAAAACATTTAATAGAATGATTTTGAAAGTGTTTAATATGTTCAATTTTTATAAATAGAAATATATCTTTTTTTTTATTTTATAAGATTTTTCCGCGAAAAGTATAAATGTGAATTTATTCATTTAGCCAAGGGCCGAGCAAATAACTTGATTCCAAAGAATAATAAATATTTTTTCGTGTTTACCTTTTGTATATAACCAATCATCATTACTTCAATTTAATGGTTTTCTTAGAGTTAATATTAAATTAATGGGTAATATAGTCAATTTGTTGTAATTTAAACAAATTTAATGATTTTCTTGAGTAACGTATTATGGAACAGAGGTAGTATATGAGAAGTCCCTCTCAATGGAGGGATTGTGAGCTACACAGCAAGGAGTAGCCCAAATAATATTTTTACCAAATTTGTGATAAGTTTTGTAGATAAACAGGATTCGAACTCAATCCTCTAACTTCCTACATCTTCTACGACAGATAAAAATATTAATCAGACTACACCAGATTGACAGTATTTATAGATAGTTAGTCATCAGTTTAGGGTGAAATCGAATAATGAAGTTGAAGTTTTAATTGGATTTTAGATTAATTTAATTTATAAATTATCATTATCGCGTATTTTTTCTTTTTATGAGTAATTTAATTTCCTTTATTAATATGTCATGAAAAAACTTATTCGAGCAACTAACTTAAGTCAATAGACTTTTCAATACACTCAAATCTAGCCTAAAAAAGTTAAGCGAAAAAACATAGAAAAAAATGTAGAGAAACAAATCAAAAAGCACGTATTTCTCTTTGAGATATCCCACCCATTTCTATTCCTATATTAGATGTTCGTCCTAAAAGACATTTATTTTGATATTTCTTTCAAATTATAGTAAAGTCTTATTTTTTTTATTATTTTATTTACTTAATTAATAAATATTTATTATTTTATTTACTTAATTAATAAATATTATTTTTATATTGTTAAACTACTTTGTGCTTTGCCAATTTTGCTTTCCTCTGTCAAAACGTGTCAATGGCCTCCAATGAATTAATAAAAAAGAACATTGAAAACTAAAATTGAATACCTTGATTCCTAGCTCACCCACTATAGTAAATAACAAATCAATAAAAATACTTCAACACTCCGCCTTTTGTCATATGTTTCATACATTACACTTGGATAAAATGTCATCTTCATGGAATGTTAACCCTTTTTTATTATTTATCTATCATTAAATACTTTCATCTTCATATAATATCCATAAAGCTAGAGAAGCTTCTGCACACATTAAAGAAAAAAAAAAACAAGTCAACAGTATTTTTTTTTTTTTTTCTGTAAGAACAGGCAAGAGGCTAACCAACAAAGGGTGAAGAAGATTTTGAATTATGATCAACTATGAAATCGCTATATTATTCCATAAATTATGTAGTGTTTTCTTTATTATAATTGAGCACTTGTAGAATCATCTACTGGATGCCAGTGCCTGTTGTAGAACCACATTTTATCAGCTTCCACTGCATATCCATCCTGATTACGGTGCCAACTGTAGTATGCGTGGGTTCGGTTTTTAATGTCAAAAATGGCATGACCGAAACTGGCCTCCCTATAGGCCGAGTATTCTGGCTGTGGCTCTGTCATGCTGCATTACAAAAGAAGACATTGTACTAAAGTAAACTATGCTGACAAATAGAAAGAAATATCAAGAACATTAGTACTGATCAGTACTCGACAATCTTACTTAGTTGCCAATCCTTCGAGATTTCCTCCATCGCCGATGGTAATGTATACTGGGGCAGATTGATCTTCTACTGGAGTGCATTTTCCATTTACAATGTTGTATGCAACATTAGATATGCGTTCCTGAGAGGACAATAAATTTGAAGGTTGAATAAACAAATGATGCCCAGAGAAGTACTTGCTTCAAATAGGATTCAAAATCTCAAAGTTCTTTCGGGTTTCAGAGAAGTACTTGCTTCAAATAGGATTCACAATCTCAAAAGTTCTTTCGGGTTTGAAACAATTCAGAAAATTCTTTTGCAGCAATTTGAACAGATTAAAGAATTTTGCATTTGATTTGTACTTCAAATGAAACTTCTTGAAGCAACACCGCCAAAACTTTAACAATAGTTTGGGGTTTCAGAAAGTCAAAATAGACAAACTATTAACTACAAGTGTGCAGAAAATTAGAGAACATTTCAGTGATATCTATCGCTTATAAACCAGATAACAAAAGGGATAAGTTACACTTACAGATCGTTCATAGGCGTGAACATGACCAGCAAAAACAACATCAACTTTGTACTGAACAAACCACGGCTCATACATTACTCTCATGGTCTCTCCTTCCATATAATGATAGTTGTAGCTGTTGTACCATGGAGAATGCATAAGAACAATTAACCATGGTGTCTCTGTCCTGTTAACTTTTGGCAGCTCTTCTTCAAGCCATATATATTGAGGAGTGTATTTACCTAAAACATGAAATGAATGTGTTAGCACTCATTAAAAAAGCATTTTTCCGCTAAAGTACCCATTCAGCCTATACAAATTTGCACTAGACAATTATATGAATATAATTCTGCTGCATATAGATGTGCACAAGTACTATTTTCTTTGTGCTTTCAGAGTATGGAGAAGAATTACATGTTCATACCATATGCTGAATATGAAGACAAGACAATAATATATGCCGAAGCCCTCTTGATCGAATACCAAAAGGGAGCACTACTGCCTGATGCTCTATAAGGGACACGATAGCGGCGAGTAAAAGGCTTAAAAGGTATAGTTTCACCCTGCCCCTGCAAACATAATACATTCTTTTGTTAGCTTTTTAATTTTTATAAAGACCTATAATTTGAAGGTTCGTATGAATACTTCTTCCAATAACCTGTTCTCATTTAGCAAATATACAGATATTAGCATGCACTACAACCACATAAGACAGTAAGAGTGTTGTCTGCAATTGTGGAGCTAAAATTGGAAAGGCTTCAGATGTCTCTTAAATAAAGATTTTACACTTGACTATATTATAAACCATGCAAATATATGCTTACAATTTCAGGGGCGAAATCAATCTCGTGATTTCCTGCAGTCCATATCCATGGTTGATAAGCAGTACTTCTCTCAGTAAACCTTCCCCATGTATCCCACCTTACATTGTCATGATTGGGGTACTTATCCGCATAAGAGAGGTCTCCAACAAATAACACTGTCTGCCCCTTTTGTGGGTTCCTTTCATAGTGAGTTAGTGTTCTGTTTGAATCAAAACTCTGACCAAGATCAAAACTCTCTGACCTAATAGATTCTCCTTGCCAAAAATCACGATGGCAATTGATATAAGGCACATGTTATTAATATCAAACCCTGTTCTGCACCTATTACCCACATGCTTCATAGGACTATATAAAGATTCTTGAAAATTCCTTGCCAACAGAAGACTGTAAACCAGAGTTATCTATTTCAGTCTCAATTTCAGCAACTAATACAAAAATTTCAGATGGCAATGATATAAGCACATGTATACATATCAAACCCTGTCTGCACCTATACCCACATGCTCATAGACTAATATAAAGGATTCTTGAAAATTCCTTGCCAAAGAGACTGTAAACCAGAGTTTATCATTCAGTCTCAATTTCAGCAACTACATACCTATGAGACCAAATGTATAGGGCACATCAGGACCAACTGCAGGAGGAGTTGTAAACCAGAATTGCCGTGTAGTATTATGAAGCCCAACCAAATAGTAATACTTGGTGTTATACTGCCAAAAGAAATATTGGATATTAATAAAAATCATAATCTATGATGCATGGACTTCGCTATGAACAGAGTGAAATGGAACAAAGAATTCATTAGACAAAGAAAATCATAATCTATTTCAAATTCAATTCGACAAAGAAAATTATTTCAATTAAAAATTAAAATTCCAATTTTGAAAAAATAGGACAATGAACAGATTAATTATTGGTATCAAAACAATCCAAAATTCTACCTCCAAGTTTCTGATGGTGCAGTGATGAATATAACCAGAGTTGTAATTGTAGAATCTGTAGGTATTATATTTGCCCTTAGCTATCTTCTTATTTGTGCTATTTTCCCTCCAATAAAGCACATTACTGGATCCTGGTTCATCAGTAACCCATGATACTATCACAGCCTTCCCATCATGATCTCCTTGTGTTATGTGAACCTTTGAATTCAAAGCCACCCAAATATCAATAAGTTAAACAAATATCAAATCACATCCACCATTGCTTTTTTAATAGCAATACCACCAAAATTTCTTCAAATACTTAAAAAATTAAAACTTTTTCATTAGTAATTAACCCACAAACCCCACCCGCCATTCCTTCAGTACTTTTCCAGTTTTTCTTTTTGAAAAGAGCCGCCAAAATTTATTCAAAAAACTAAAGTAAAAGTAATTAATTCACAAAACCCAAATAGAAAAAAAAAATTAAAGAAGGCAGGTCACTGAATAACTTAAAATTGAAAAGACCAAGAAATGGAGCAGATATCAAGAGGAAAACAGAGAAACAGACCTGCTGAGGAGCATTGTCGCCAGAAGGGACACGAAAGACATCGCTATCAAGAGGCATATCAACAGTTTTCTCCACAGGCCTAACAAAACTGCTGGTTTTGCCTCCATTGCACAACACAGCCACATTCAAGACTGAACCAAAAAGAAAAAGAAACGAGAAAGAAAAAGAAGAAGAACTCATCTTTGATTCAGAGCTCAGAAACCCCAAGTTGGAAGCTTTACGCTCTGTTAACTTTCATGAAAAGATAATTCTTGTGTACTAAAAGATATAAAAAATGGTCGGTAGCATATAATACGGGGAATATTCAGGAATTTGCCAAAAATGCGGATTATAAGTCAATTAAAACTATAAAAAAGTATGATTCCCTGAAAACGGAGAAAAATACTAAACGGCCTATTTGATTTGCAGTTCGAGCTAAACGGCCAGTAATTTGATAACCACTAGCAATGAGAAATGAGAAGAGAATGTGAATGTGTGTATCATATATTGGAGGAGCAATTGTTGTTTTCGAGGAAATAAAAAGTCGAACTTGACGTATAGAAATGCTTGCCTCGCGGACGAATCGAGTAATAATAACAAAGCAGACATGGACGTGGAGACGTATATAGCAAGGAGATCCGTTGACTTGTAGGCAGTGCTTTTCAGACTTGCAAAATTAAGATTTAGAAGGGCTTTTATTTGAATATTATCCACACTTTTAAATGTGGAGATACATATATATAAATAAATTATATATCGTAATTATACAAATAATATGGTAATTTTTATTCTAGTGTTTGAAAAATATGATATGATTAATTGTTTCTAACCAAATAAAGATAATCAAATATAATCCCCTCAATGTTATTTAAAAAAAAAGATAATTAAAAATAAAATAAATAAATAATCATTTTTAATGATTAATTGTTCAAATATTTTAATTAAATATACTTAAATTAAAATTTTAAAATCCACCATTTATTATTTAAATTTGTTCTCGAATCACGACCTATTTAGGAAAATTGGTTGTTTTAACCATTATTCTGCAAACCGGACCGGTTAGTGAATCATTAAAGGTAGGAGTTTATTGAACCAGAAGGTTTATTCGGACTCAATACGGTTTAACTGGATTTTTATATATAATATTTTTAAACATATTTATTAAATAAAATTGAAAGTATAGGAAAAAAAACTTTGATATCAAATAAAAATAAATATAAATTGAAAGTATAGAAAAAAAAAACTTTGATATCAAATAAAAAAATATTCTTAAATTTGGCTTTATAAAAAGAAATTTAAAAAAAATTAGTAAATAATTTAAAATAAAAAAATAAAATATGACACATTTAATATTAATAAAACTACAATTATAATCATATTAATAAAATATAATTATTAATTTTTATAATTTGAATTATAATAAAATATAATATTAATTTTAATATTTGGGTTTAAAGTTGAAAATTTTAATTGTTTTAATTAATATAATAGGACTTTGGATTTATAAATAAAGAGGTCTAAAACAATAAATCAGTGAAACTAATTTTTAAAAGGCCCAAATTTTTAAAAAGCCATAATTTGAGAAAAAAAACACAAATTTTGAATCGAATTGGTTTTTAACCGGTCTGATTTTTGGCCGGTTTTACCGGTTTAGATTGGTTTTTAAAAGGTGCTCAGTTGTTTATGTAAATTGGACCGAATTACTGTTCGATTTTTGATTAAACCGGTTAAACTAACTGGTCCGTCCAATTTTTAAACCATAGTTTAACGGCTGTTAACTGTTTTTTTACCTCTGTATAATATCAATTTGAAACATTATTATTACGTTCCTATATTATGAGAAAACTAATCACTCTATATTAGCTTTTTTTTAGAGGCATTTTTTTTTTCTTTTCACGAGATATTCAACGTAAAAAATTCAAAAATGAAAGCAAGGACTAAAGAACTGAAGGAATCAAAGATTAGAAATGAAATGGTCTATCTTTTAAAATGTAGGAATGGAGTAATTAATTTTAGCATAATATAGAAATATAAATAGTAATTTTAATTGTTAATCAAGTGGTGATCTGATTAGTCTTCTTACGAGTTTGAGTCATCTCAATCACAGTTATTTTCATCAATTTGGTGAGTCAAATGAGAGTTACTTAACCATATTGTGTAGCCCACAATATTATTTTGGTCCATCAAGACCTCCAAAAACTTTCATATATATGCATATGTATTCCATGGTGAATAACTAAATATATAGAAATATGATTTTTTTTTTAATAATTCAAAATTAGAAAAGTGAAAGTAGCTATTCTATCCACATTTAGATGTCAAAATTGACTGAAATTATATTCTAGAATGTGCAAACTAGAAATTTTCTTTAATTATTCTTATTAAATTTGTAAAAATTTATATTAATAGTTTAGTTTCTTACTTTTTATGTCCTAAAAAGACTTATTAGACCACATTCAATTAACCTCTCTAAATTCTTTTTTGTCCATCTAGAAATGTCTTGTTGGCGCCTAACTTTGATCCACGGCAGGCTTCAAATGGAAATAAAATAACATACTCCACCTAAAGTCTCTATGGTAAAATTAATTATTTTGGTAGTTGTTAGCTATTTTAGTAGCATTTAGCTATTAATTATTTGAGTAATTTTTCATAAAATGCTAAAAGCAAAATGTTACATAGCCTAACTTTTTATAAAACGATATATTAACCTCTAAAAACTACTGTCTTTATTTTATAATACTTATCGCATTTGGAATTTTACGTCCCTCAAGAAAACTATTAAATTTGTCTATTTTATAAAACGATATATTAACCTCTAAAAACTACTGTCTTTATTTTATAATACTTATCGCATTTGGAATTTTACGTCCCTCAAGAAAACTATTAAATTTGTCTAAATTATAATAAATTATTGGGTACAATTGACTATATTACGATTAATTAAATACTAATTCTCTGAAAAAACTATTAAATTGAAACAATAATTATTGGTCATTTACAAAAAGGTAAATATGAAAAAAAAAATTATTTATTACTCCTTGAAATCACAAATGTGACAAGTATTTCAGAACAAACTATTTTCTCAAATGTGATAAATATTATAGAACGAAGATAATGATTCAAACGGTATATTACCGCAAACTATAAAAAATAGCGTTTTAATTAAAAGCTATTAACAAACATAGCATTGATGAGCCCAACAAATTAAGTTTGAATGGTCAAGATATACAATTAATCTGTTGGCTCATGTTTTAATAATATTATTAGGTATTCGACACTTGAGAGATTGATGAGATTTTTCTAACTGCTTAAAAAAAAAATTAAATCAGTATAATTTTACAAATAATTAACTGAATTTAATAGATTCTCAATAAATAAATAAAATAAATATATTATATATATATATATTTTTGTCTTTTATTTTGCAAATATCATTTGCTGAATTAAATGTATCTTTACCGACGTTTTCCATGGAATACCATAAAATAAATTAAAAATTATATATATATATATTTGTCTTTTAATTTTGCAAATATCATTTGCTGAATTAAATGTATCTTACCACGATTTTCAATGGATACCATAAAATAAATTAAAAATATTGATCAACAATGTACTAAAATAATTAGGGTGAAAGTACTATAAATTCACCTTTTTATGTAAATGAGCTTATCATTAAATTGATTAATGTTTAATTTGCCCTTTAAATTTGAAGATGAATTACAGTTTGCTCAAAAATCTATTTCTTTATATAATTACCATTATCCCAATTTTACATCAAATGATCAATAGTCCAATTTTCATCAAAAATAAAATGAAACAATAACTTTATATATTTTTAACTAATAAAATTTATTAGCTAAGATTATTAAATGTTTTTTGGATTTTTTTATATTTTTGTTTTAAACTAAACATTTTTTATTAATTAAAAATATTAAGCTATTTTAATAAAGGTTAGGTTTTTTATCATTTGGTGCAAAGTAGGGGTAATAGTTAGTATATAAAAAGTTAGATTTTTTTTTTTAAACAAAGAAAACAACAAAAAAAACTATCTTACAAAACTAATATCACAAGCGTCAGTCCAAAAAATTAAAATCTAAAAAAGCACGGCATGAATCCCAAACAACTAAAGAGGAAGGGATAGAAGGCTTCAATATAGTCGACTGATCAGTTGCATAATTTGTTTGTCAAAAAACATGATGAAGAAAATACTCCCAATCACGAGTCAATAAACTCTTAATGTCCATGACGAGAACCACAAACGGATGAGAAGACACAAAATTCGAATGTACTAATCGTACCGCCTCTAAATAATCAAACTCCACGATTATCTTTTGAAAGCCACGATCCCAAGCAAAAACAAGACCAATCCTAATAGTAGTCAATTCACCCACCAAAATCATAGAATGATCAATATTAATAAGAAAACCACCGGGCCATTTTCCCTTGAAATTCCGAAACAAACCACCTTATTAAAAAAATCAAGATTAGTAAAACTGCTACCATCACAATTTAACTTTACCCAACCCTTTTGAGGAGCAATCCATGCAACAATAATCTGTCTGCGAATACTAACAGAAGAAGTAACAAAAAATTTAACAATATCCATAAACAAGAGATTCATTTTAAAAAATAAATAAATTTCTCACCTTCAAGCACACCAGATAGAAGTTAGAAGCAACTGATGCCAAGAAACACTAAAAGGACCCGGTACATAGCAAGACAAATTAAGCCACAGCCACATATTCAAATGGGCCAAACCAAAAAAATTAGACGGGGATTCCCATTGTTGCCACCATTCCCAAAAGAATTTGTAGAACTAAATTAGGGGATTATTGTAAGATAACAACTATTGAAATGCTAAAATAAAAGTATTTACTATGGTAATAACAATAATTGCTTCAGCAATAACGCGATCCAAAAAGAACCACTGTTATTTAGGTTAGAAAGTCAATGCAATGAAAAGTCAAAGATTATACATGATGCTAAATCAAAAAGAAGCCATTCTTGGACCATCTAAATTATTCCTATATCTCAAATTCTTTCGTGCATCAATAATATTTACTTCTTTCTTTATTCATTTCTTAATATTTTATTTTGGGTGACTTGTTGACCCATGTATTCCTTATATTATTATATATAGAAAAGAATTTCCATTTTTAAAATTTTAAAATATAATTTTCAAATATATGAATTATGTGTAATATTTATTTTTTTTTAGGAAAATGTGTAATATTTATTCTTCTTTTTTTAAAACTAAATTGAATAAAAATGTAAATTGACGTAAAATTATTGTTAATGATATTATATGTACATATTATTCAATCTTGTATCACTCATGGTTGAACATCTCATGGTTGAAAAGCCTCTGCATATACATATTAAATTAATACATAAATTTTACCTTATACTTTTCTTTTAAAAAAAATTATATCACCTTAAATTTTGCGAAAATGTTTATTATATTACTAAACTTAGGAAATTTTAGCAGCATTATATAAGTTTTTATAGTAACAATGACGATCTTTATAATTTTTTATTTTTATATGTAAATAGTGAGTTGGTGTGTGGTTAGTATAATTTTTAGAATAATAAATTTTTCATACTTTTAATTATTCATAAAGTATTTAATCAATTTAATTTTATAAGTTAAAACATTTACTAGAATGATTTTGAAACAATTTTTATAAATAGAAATATATAGATTTTTTTAATTTTATAAGATTTTTTTGCGAAAAGTATAAATGTAGATTTATTCATTTAGCCAAATATATATAGATACACAGGGCCAAGCAAAATTTGATTAAAATTAAATCAAATCAATTTTGTTTGACTTTTCAATTCCATTAATCAATTCTATTTTAATCATGGTTTTGAGAACTGAATTGGACCGACTGGTCCAACTGATTTAATCGCAAATCTGATTACAATCTGGTCCGAATTAAATACATAAACAAAGAGTTAAAAAGAGGATAAAAACCTAAAAGAACCGGTAAAAACCGTGAATTTGCACCTGTCACTGAGTACAGTTCGATTCAGAATAAAAAGTATCACAAACAAAACCAATCTTTGAAGACAGCAACGTACTGATTTCTTCAAGTAAATATTACACATAATTCATATATTTGACGAGGCACCCATCTCCACACTGAAATGGTTAAAAATTAATCTATTTCATGGACGAATTTTTTTATTTTAGAAATTTAATCTATTTCACCGACCGAACATCTTCTTACTTGCCCACTACTATCAAGCTAGAGAATAGGTTACCGAATTCTTTATTTAAAAAGGTAGATTACATTCTCATAGCTATCGTCGTTTTGTTTCTTTTCATTTGGATGTTAACGGGCTGACTCGACATTAACTAAGGGAAAAAAAAAAAAATCACCCATTAAGAATGTTTATAAAAAATAAATTAATAAAATAAAGATATTTATTAATTTTAGAATTTGTATCATGTCTGAAAAATTATTTGGTATTTATAAATTATTTTTTAAAAAATTATTTAGCATTTTTCATACTTTTAACTATATATAAAAATTCAAAATAATAATAATAATAATGTAGTCTTCCTCTCTCTATGCATGTACCTTTGCTTCATGCAATATCTCACCTAATGGTGTAAATCCACGTTTCTTCTTTATTTCTTTTTCTACCCAGATCTTTGATTGTCCCTGTTGCTACGTTCTATTTGTGTCTCCATCCATCTTCATGGAAAACGATTTCGAGAATTTAATTTTATCATATGATGGAGATGATTGTATCAAAATTTCTGGGTCTTTTTCGCAGGAACCTATTTCATACAAATTCTGTTTGGTAGGTATTTTTATGACATATAGTAGAATTAATTTTGTGGCAATGAGAAATACTCTAGCAGATATATGGCATCCTTTAGGAGGGATAGACATAAGTGAGATTGGTGGGAAGAGATATCTTTTTAGATTTTTCAATGGAATTGATAGGCAGAGAGTATCGGAGGGATCCCCATGGCTATTTAACAATCATCTGCTGGTTTGGAAGGAGATCAATAAGGGAGATAATCCTTTGCTTGTACCATTAACGCACTCTCCTATTTGGGTCCAAGTTCATGACCTAAAACATGGGTTTATGTCCCAAGAAATGGCAAAGCAGTTAGGGGATTTTATAGGGACCTTCATCGAATACGACCCAAAAGTATGTGTTGATTCCGATAATGAAAAGTTTATGAGAATGAAGGTTGTGTTGGACATTCGAAAGCCATTGAAGAGAAGGAAAAGACTGGTTGATGATAACAACTTGATGTTTTATGTTTGGTTTCAGATATAAAAAGGTGAAAACATTTTGTTATCTTTGTGGAATCATTAGACACATAGATAATTTTTGTGAACTGAGATTGAAGAAGAGACCGGATGCACTAATTATGGCCTGGGATGAGAGTTTGAGGGCCAAACCTCGCCGGACATCACAGCCGGTAAGCAGCTGGATACGGAATATGGAAGGAGGATTTTTTTGCGCAAATCGAGGAAATTTGAATGAAGAAAATCTGGATAGGGATCAAATTATATCACGTGACTATAGGACTCATCTTATTTCTGGTCAACTACATTCGGATAAGGGCAATTCACTAGGAAAGGTGGACTGTGATTTAGAGGGTGATGAAGTTGGGCCAGATACATCTCAGCCCATTGACTTAAATGAAGACATGCCTATGCAAAAGCCTAAGGAAATTAAGAAACGGCAACGTACCTTCAAACAAACAGTAGATGGTGTTTCTTTACACAATCAGGATTTGTCATCAAGCTCAAACCCAGTTCAAAATATGGCTGGTATTCAGGAAGCGGCTGATCCTGCGTTGCAGGATAGCCGAAGGCAATGAGTCTCTTGAGTTGGAATTGCCGGGGCTTGGGCAATCCCGGCGCAATAAGGGCACTAAAGGATATCATCGGTACTTATAGGCCTAAGGTGATTTTCCTTATGGAAACTTTAGTGCAACGTCACCGAATGGAGAGTATGAATTGTTCTTTGGGGTTTGATAACTGTTTTACGGTTGATTGTGTGGGTAGGAGTGGAGGTCTTTGTCTACTTTGGATGAATGATTTTGAAATAAATTTGACTAGTTTTTCTAGCAATTTTATTAATGCTTCGGTTAAAATTCAAGAAAAAGAGTGGAGGATGATTGGCGTTTATGGCTTTCCGGAAGGCTCAAGGCGACAAGCTTCATAAACTTGCTTCATAGTTTAGCTAGCATTGATGATTAAAATTCAAGAAAAAGAGTGGAGGATGATTGGCGTTTATGGCTTTCCGGAAGGCTCAAGGCGACAAGCTTCATAAACTTGCTTCATAGTTTAGCTAGCATTGATGACAAACCGTGGTTGTGTTTGGGAGATTTCAATGCCATTTTGACGACAGATGATAAATTGGGAGGAGCAGCTGTCCAACGTCATTTGCTGAACGGTTTTTCTGATGCAATTTCAGACTGCGAATTAGTGGATATTGAATTAGTGGATATTCCTTGGGAAGGTTTTTGGTTTACATGGGAGAAGAAGAGAGATGGGGTTGTGTATTGCAGGGAGAAGCTTGATAGAGTAATGGCAAATATGGGGTGGTCTTCTATGTATGTGAATGCTTTAACTAAAATTATTGCAGCTCCTGTTTCTGACCATGCCCCATTATTTATTCAACTAAATTATAGACAGGTGGACAATACTTATAGAAGGTTTCAATTTGATAATAGTTGGTTGGGGGAGAGGGAATTGGATCAACTTGTCAAAGATGTTTGGTGTAATAATGATAGTGGGCCATTGTTACATAAAAGAGATGTTTGTGTTAAGGAAATGGAAAGGTGGGGTCGACAATTTAATAAAAAATTTTGGAAGCAAAAAAGGATATTAAAGCAACGTATAGAAGAGGCAAGAGATGGGTTTCATGATGTCAATGTTCAAAGACTAAAAAATGAATGGAATACTATTATATTCAAAGAAGAGTGCCGAATGAGACAAATAGGGAAACAGAGATGGCTTTCTTGTGGGGACCAAAACTCCAAATATTTCCATGCTTCAATAAAGACTAGAAAAAGGAGAGCTAAAATTATGAAGTTGGAAAATGAGGATGGCGAGATAGTTACACGAGATAAAGTTAACAGAATAATGACAGTTTGAACAACTTAAACATTGAATTATTTTTTTTCTACTGTTTTATAGTGGCAGAAGAATCAGTTTGCATTGAAAATTTTAAATCTTGTTCAACCAAAGGTGACAGCTAATCAGAACAATATTCTTACGCTCCATTTACGTTGGATGAGATCAGAGAAGCTCTGCATTTGAATATGCCAACCTGACAAATCACCTGGACCGGATGGCCCTAAATCCGGGCGTTCTTTCAAAAAAAATTTTTGGCATGTGATTGGAATTGGAGATGATATTTGGAGGGACTGCAAACAATGGCTTGACACAGGTACCTTCCCAAAAACTTTGACAGATACCCATATTGTGTTGCTTCCTAAATGTGATAATCCTTTGTCGTTAAAAGAGTATAGACCTATTTCGCTTTGTAATGTTTTGTATAAAATTGTAGCAAAATCTTTAGCGAATCGGTTGAAAAAAAATTCTTCCTTTAATTATTGATGAATGTCAATCTGCTTTTGTTCCTGGGAGGTTAATTTCTAATAATGTGGCGGTGGCTTTTGAATTAATTCATAACATTAAAAGTAGGAAGAATCAAGGAGGTGCTTATGCTTTAAAAATTGATATTTCGAAAGCATACGACATGGTCAATTGGGAGTTTTTGAGGGGTATGATGCTGAGAATGGGTTTTTGTGAGAAGTGGGTGAAGTGGGAAGTGGGTGAAGTGGATGATGTTATGTGTAACTGATGTGAAGTACTCTGTGTTATTGAATGGTAAGGAGGTGGGCCCTATTCGTCCTGGTAGAGGTTTGAGACAGGGTGATCCTTTGTCGCCTTACTTGTTTTTATTCTGTGCGGAGGGTTTGTCTTTATTATTTCAGGATGCTAAAAGGAGAGGTAGATTGCAAGGTGTGAAGGAGGGAAGGAATTGTCCAAGCATTACACACTTGCTATTTGCGGATGATTCTTTTTTCTTTTTCGAGGGTTCTTTACAGGAAGCAGAGGAGGTCAATGATATTTTGAAGAAATATGAGAGAGCATCGGGTCAGGCCATTAATTTGAACAAATTGGGTATCTTTTTCAGGGTATCTTTTTCAAGCCCGAATATTGAGTAGAGAGTTTGATGACTATATCTCTAACTATTTTGAATGTTGCTGGTTCAAATTGGTGGGGGTAACTTTATCTTGGTCTTCCATCTCTCATTGGCAAAATCGAAAAAACAGGTGTTTGGCTTCTTCAGGACAGACTTGAAAAAAGGATTGGCACTTGGTCTAATAGATTCCTCTCTAGAGTCGGAAAGGAGGTATTAATTAAGTCGATTGCGCAAGCTATTCCTACTTACTGTATGAGTATGTTTAAAATACCTCTTTCTACATGTGAAGTGATGCAAAAAAGGATGAACAAGTATTCATGGGGGGAGAAGGAAGGAGGGCGTAGAGGGATTCATTGATTAGCATGGGAGAGGATGTGTTGTAGCAAAAGGGAAGGTGGTATGGGTTTCAGGGATCTTCATTGTTTTAATATGGCCATGATAGCGAAGCAAGGGTGGTGCCTTATGACGGAGCCCGATACTCTTTTTTTTAACTTTTCAAATATTTCCATAATAGGGATTTTTTGGATGCTCCTCTTGGTAGGCGTCCTAGTTATGTGTGGAGGAGTATTCATGCTGCTATTGGGGTATTAAAACAGGGGGTACAGTGGAGAGTAGGGAATGGGGAAACTATCGGTGTATTATCACATCCGTGGATGCCTCTGGATCATAGTTTTTGGGTGGAGGATAGTAGGGACTTTGTTGATCCTAATATGAAAGTGAGGGAGCTTTTTGTGGAGGGGGAAGGGAGATGGGATGTGGTGAAGGTGATGACTCTTTTTAGCTTGAGAGAGTTTAGAGCTATATTAGGGATTCCTATTAGTATTAACGCTAATAGTGACCAGAGCTATATTAGGGATTCCTATTAGTATTAGCGCTAATAGGGACCAAATTATGTGGCATTGGGATAAAAAAGGCATTTATAGCGTTAGGTCGGGGTACTACGTGGCAAGGAGGTTATTGAGGGGGAGGATGCATGAGGTAGAAGGTGGATGGTGGGGTGAGATGTGGGGTTTAGATGCTTTCCCTAAAGACAAAGATTTTATGTGGAGGGCTCTAAGGAATGTGTTGCCTATGAAGGAGAGATTGAGAAGGAGAGGGGTGGAGATTGATAATGGGTGTCCTTGGTATGGGGAGGAAGAGGATATTAATCATGCAATAGTGTTATGTAGTAAGGCTAAGGGAGTTTGGAGGCAAGGGGGGTATAAAGTAGGTGATATAAATATTTCTTTTACTATTTCTTTTACTAACTTCTTTTTACAGGTACTTGTTAATGGTGATAAACTAAAATCCCAAAAGTTTTTGGTGTATGATAGATATATTTGGATGGCAAGAAATAATGCTCTTTGGAACAATATAAGAGACACGTGCTACACTACATTCTTGAAGGCAAAATAATACATGACTAGTTGGGAACATACAAAGTTGGCACAAAGGAGCATGGCTAGTGCATCTTCAAATACGAGTCGGCAGAGGCTTGCAATATTTCCACCCGGACGTCTTAACAACAGTGGAGACCAATCATGGCAAGCTTTTGTGGATGGTTCTATTTTTGAGCAAGAAGGCATGCAAGGATTTGGAGCGGTGATGGAGACAGTGGTTCTATTTTTGAGCAAGAAGGCATGCAAGGATTTGGAGCGGTGATGGAGACAGAGGAAGGCATTTTTATTCGAGCAGTTTCAGGCCACTTTACAAGTGGTACGGACCCTTTTATTGCGGAGGCTCTAGCTCTTTGTAGTTTTTTATTATTTCTCAAGCAAAATGATGTTAAGCGTGGAGGTACTATTTTCATGGACTCGCAGGTTTTATTTTTTGTTTTGAGCTCCTCTATTTTATTCAGATCGGATGTGGGGAGTATTATTTTTTATTGTAAGAACTTATTTTTAGAACTCCCTTTGGTTTCGTGTAGATGGATTCGTAGGCAAGCGAACTTAAAAGGCTCATACCCTAGCCCGAGCTTCTATTCGCTTTGCACATCTACGTATCTGGAATTATATTCCTCATTGTTTGTCCGAGATTTATGATAATGAATGAAAGGCTATGAGTTTTACTCTTTCAAAACTATATATAAAAATTCGATTGATTGTATTGAATGCGGTCGAACCTTTCGGTTCAATGAACCTTCTATTTTTATCAGTTCGTTGACCAATCATGTTTTTAGAGTGCAAATTTCAATGTTTGATTCGATTTTATAAAATAAATTACTTTTGTCCTGAAATAAATAGATCCAAATTGAATCAACGATTTCAAATTAAATTTCATAGTGGTACGTTTAAGATAAAATTGAAAATTCAACTTTTGATTTTTGCAGTTGGATGTTGTTCAAAATCTAACCAGCCGATTGCATTAGTCCAATCAGACATATGGACAGAAATAAATATCATAAATGCACATATGACTTTATCATAAATTTAAATGGCCTAAGGCATTAAATTCAGAACTTCCCGGACCAGATGGCTCCCACCGGACCCATACGTCTACTTCCATTGTTAGTCTCTCCCTACCTAGCCAACCCTTTTGCTTTTTACTTTGTTCTTTTTGATCCTCATATTTGCAAATGTTAAAAGCAAAAGGATCCTTTTCATACTTGTGATCCTTGTAACTTCTAAATTCATCAAATTTTTTTTTATAAAAATTCACAAAAATTTCAAGTGATGACTGCTT